TCCCCCCCCCCAGCCAGCCGTTTAAAAAAAAATAAACGGTTCCTAATATTTCGCATTCAGGATATTAAGACTTTGAGAATTACAGAAAATGTATTGACTCGTGTATGAATAAGTGCTCAAAATTTAATTTGAAGACTTCTCCAAAATTCTTCTTCTTTAGTTTACATAATATGTTTGATACTTTGGATATCGTAAAAGATGCAATAGGTTGCTRTCAATAGACGTCACTTCCGGTAATAGCTCTTTTTTGATGGCTTGTAGAATCCTGGAGGTTGTTTTGATCTCTTGTTTTCTGGTTTGATGTCGTGAAAAAAGTCAAATACGACAGTTTGAGGACTTATTTTGATATGTTTTGCCTTAGCATCCGCTAGTTGCCCCCCAGTCAACCGCTTGTTTGCCCCCCAGTCAACTCCAAAAAGTCACGTGATTGATAGTAAGCAATTGCAACATCTGATTAGTCAGCATAATATTCCCCCCACCCCCTCCCCTGTGTGTTGCCATCCAAACCGTATTGCATTATGGGAATGTGAAAATGGTAAATCGAAGTTTGACTAAAAGTTCAAGAAGATTTTAAATTTTAATGGAGATTTATGATTGGTTTCCCATGTTTGTTTGAATCCAATAGGAAAGATGACGGTATAATGTCCACTAGTCTGACACGCAACTCAAAACCCCTTTCTTTTATTCCTTCAAACTATGAATTCATTAAACCTTTCTATTGACTTTGTTTTTATCGTTTCCAGTGTTCGAAAGAAAATTGGATTTACCAGCTTGAACTCGTACGCTTGTATAATGGACGCCATGAAGATGAGAGACTTATTATGACTTCGATTTGAACATTGGATATATCTTCATACAAGGTTAGATCCTGCTTAGGCTTGCTAAGTATGTGTACATCTACAGTATAGATTTTTTWAAAATTATTTCCGTCAAAAGCGATCCGATCAATAGATTTTTTAAGTTTACTTTCTATATTCCAGAAGAAAAAAAGACAAAAAAAGACATCATAAATTATACGTTGTTTACAAAGTTGCTTTAGTAATCAAAAAATTTTTGTTATTTAAAATAAAGCTCAGTAGATTGTTCCTATTTCTAGTATTGTCATTTTTCAAGAATTATTTTTCATCTTATTTCAAAATATAACTCAGAAGATCGTTCCTCTTCGTTATTTTCATTTTTCATCAGAAAAATTAATATTTTTTATCGTATTTTGAAATAAAGTCAGTCAGTAGATTTTTCCTCTTCGTCACACTTTTCTTTTCGATATTTTTCTTTCGTGAAAATATTGACCCATGGCGGATCCTATGTAATCTTATATCCGTCCAGAACGGCAGATGGGACGTTTACGAGTGATTTGCATTGGAAATTCTCGAATAAGCTTATCGAAATTATTTATGTAAACGACAATTAAATCGATTCGTATTCATATGTGAAACAAAGAAAGATTAGCGCAAACAGTGAACTACGGTCTCAGGTTTGAAAACGAAAACATGATTGGTATTGAAGATGGAAGAAAGAACAAATGGGAAGGAGAAATGCAGGAATAAAAAAGAGGAAAAAGAAATATTCTGGCCTGAAAATTTCCCGAATTGAGCAATTATCGTTATTGCATACACCTAATTAAAAAAACGTCATCGCCAAAGGCGATCGGCAATAGGAGATAGGCGAAAAGCGATAGGATATATGTCATTCCAAGATCCAAGAATAGCTGGAATGACTTGTGTTTCTGCTTCTTATTCTCGTCAAGAGTATGGACCTTCATGATGAGAATAATTTGATGTTCTTTGTATTCAACGAAACCATTTCCATGTCGGAATGACCTATCACCTATCGCCCTTGACGATGACAACATGTTTTGAAATAGGCGTATATTCTATTAGAGGGAACGTTGATGAAGGTCTTGTTTGCCAAACAAGCTTGAGATATGTTATATTCAAAAGTAAACAGTGTCTGCAAACAAGAAAGTATGCCAAGAAAACGTCTAGACAAAGTTTGGTAACATTCTATATCGTTGTGACCTTTCGTTGATTGTATTCACATCTCCCAAAGTGCAGATGGGCTTGACATGCAACTAAAAATCGTTAGGTTGGTTACTAGTTGGGACTGTGATGGTGTGTAGAATACAACAAGTGAATAAGAATGACTAGTGGTTACTAGTTGGGACTGTG